TCTAATGTCTGTTTTTGCAAACTTGGACCCATGTGAGTTCCTGATAGGCTTCCATTCATCGGAGAGGAATATTGGCCCCAATAAAAGGGGAACGTGGAACTGAGGGGCAGGGGAGGAGGAAGGGGCTGCCTCCGCTGGTACCGCGTGTCGGACTGTGTGTCAGCTATGGCATTACGTGCGTTTAATGGTTTTTGTAGGGAAGCTGAGGCGTAGGATTTTTGGAGAAGAATAGCAACATCCAGAGCATTTTGTACCTGTGTGCGTTTTAAGGTCTTAACCGTGATGGCTGTGTTTATTTGGTGGTGTCCTGCGTGGTTTTAACTGTCCTTGGGTATTTATTCTGTCTTCGTGCAAGTACACGATGAAATTACAGATCACTAGGAAAAATGTCAAACCGTGAATTAAGATGTCTTTCTGGAGAAAGGCTTTGTGTTTTCGGTCTTCCTTTCTTCCTCTTCCCATGCCTCTCTCTTAACCCCAGATTCAGGGCTGTCTGGTTGTCTTATTTTCCGCAGTTTGCGTTATCATGTATGGAAAACCTAAATGATTCAGGCTTTTGTTTTGGCTTCTACGCTAATTTGTTTTAAGAGTTGAATACAGCACAGTTCTTGTTTCAGAATGATTAGACTGTAACTTCTGCATGTTCAAACTACATTACCAGTTTTCGACGCCCAAATAGTAGTTTAGACTAGACAATCGTGTTGCCTGACACCAGAGAAGCAGGCGAGCAGGGCTGTTGGTGCAGACCCAGCCAGACCCGTGCGTTAGCAACTGATGAACAGATTTTTGCTCAACTTGATCACCTCCTGCCACTTGTCATTGCGTTGGGGTTGCTGAGTTAGCTTTCGTGTTTGCTCGCACCAGGGAGGCGAGCAGCCCGTCGTGTGGCTGTAGGCAGGTTTAGTTGGTTTTCACGTGAGAGCGCGAAGAGGAAGAGTCCTGGAACAAGTCTGTAGGTCAGGAGGTATTTAGGCACAGAGTTTCCTGATGCCCTTGCGAATTGACAACCTGCAGGTGAATTTTGGCAGAAGTTTCAAAATTTTGAACTTTGCCAAGGTCACTTGGAAGTGCAGAAACCGGTAAGTAGTCGTAAATCAATGTCAGCTGAATTTGAGGTGTACCAGAAGTATAGCGGTCCTATGCTAAGGATCAACCTTGTCGTCGTCTTCTGAGTATGTGCTATATAATATCTGTCTTCAGGGTCCGTGGAAAGTTGTATCCCAGCATATGCCGTTGACTGTGTTTCTGTAATTAAACGAGTGTTTTTTCTTTCAAGCAGGGAATAATTAGCAGAGTGACAGAAATGGTGAAAAGTATTGTACCGGCGTGGCTGCAGAAGTATTTCAATAAGCGTGAGAATGAGTGTGCAGCTGCAAATAAATCTGCAAACCAGGCGGCGACTCCAGTAAACCAGCATCATAATTACGCAGATGGAGGTACCCTAAATGATGGGAGATACATGCCTGAACGAGCGACACTTAATAGACAAGGTACGTGAAAAATCATTCGGAATTCTGGCCACCTGTATTTATTCACAGATTTCTAGTTTTGAATCCGAATATCAAAAGGAAATTGGAAGGAGGGTTTTGACAGAATGAAAAAACAAACAAGAAAGTCGAAACAACTGTTTGTGAAACTGTCTTAGCTTTAAACTGTCCGCACAATTACGAAGCATACCTCTTATGCTCTTGGAAGGCATCAGTCAACTTTACGTACTCTATTAGCCAGGTGCTAAATGCTGGAAAGAACTCATTTGCAAGTGTGCTAGGTTGCATTTTCCATATTTTACAAGAAACGGAATGAAAATCTAATTGCGTAAGGCAATTAAAAATGAATTTGCTTTGCAGTCTTCAAAACAAAATAATAGATGCTAGAGTGGCACAGGAAAATTCCATCTCGAGTCCTGACTTTTTTTGTTTGGTTTTGTTTTGGGCTTTGATCAATTTAGTCAAGTTCCTTGTTAACTTAATGGAGAACTAGGGAACTTGTGCATGGATGTGGTTTATGACATTATTATCCTTAAAATATTCAATAACCTTAAGGTCTACGCAGGGGGAAGGGGTGTCTTTGAAAAGGTATTGGGAGCGTTGGCAACGAGGTTTGTAACCCCTTTACTGCATGAAAGATGAATTTGTCTTATATCCGATGCCTCTCACTGCTACTGTAGTCTTATTGTATAAATCCGCACATACTCTTACTGGAGTTTCTCTTAAATTAGCTGTTTTGGGGACCTCAGCTTTTAATAAGTAAAGAAGTTTTGTCTGAGTGTGCGTAGATAACCCTAGGTAAACTGGAAAGTCAGTTGCTTCTGTTGTTGGCAGAATCAAAAAATAATGCGGAAATAGCTTTGCCTCCAATCTCATCTAATTGTAAACAAGGAGATTGATTGCTTTCTGTGTAGCTGTAGCTTGGGAATAAGTTTGGAGAAAAGAATAGAGAAGGTCTTCATGACTGAGGAACACATGTTGGCTTTTCTATGTAACTGTGTGAAAGGAGCTTTCAGTAAGAACAGCTGCACTGCAAGCTTACTAACTCCAGGAGATCAGGAGCAGGTGGACATCCTAGAACCTTTTGTAGCTTATGTAGCTGTCTGTGGGTGTTACTTGCTCTGCTTAAGAATAAGATATTTTTTAAAAATTATTACTTCATTTTTAAACAAATGTGTTTCTTCAGCTCTGAGGTATCAATGTGCTGGAGCCTATATTCCTTGCTTAGGTGGCCTTCAGCCCGAATAACTTTGTGTATCTCAAACGGTACTGTTCTAAAAATCTGCTCATGGTTTGGAGAACTAATTAGTGGTACTGCAGTGGTTATGAAGATTGAACTAACTAGTTTAAGCTTGAGTGCGAGCATCAAGAGGATAGTGGCGCAAAGTCATTTTAATTGCCCAGATTCCCGGGGGAGACTGTAGGCTTTTATCAGGCCACTGGCATTGTTTGCAGACCCTTTGCTTCAAGAGGGAAAAATGCTCATCTGGTTACTTGGGTCAACGTACTTTTCCCTTGGGTCAAAATCCCAGTAGTTAACGGGTAGGAGGTAGTGTTTTGCCTCTAAGATGAGCTGATCTGGTAGAACTTGGGAAAAAAAGTACTGCAAGTGTTCATTTTCATGCTGTGTATTTAGATTAATGACCTTTGTTCCACCATTATATAAGCTGCAGTGTTATCTGTGCCTTAGCATGTAATCTCAAATTTTGTAAAGCTTCTTGCAAGCTGTACATGCGAGGAGGAGTATTTGTGTTTGACTTGGTGAAAGGCCAAGTCAGTGTTAGAGCATTTGAACACGGGGTCGGAATCTGGTGTTGTGAAACCTCACAGTTAACTTCTTCTGAATGCAACATTAATACTCAGTATTGCAAGCAGTGTTGTTGTTGTAGCCAGACAGTTAGATGAAACCGTATCTGGGTGAGGAAGAAGTTAAATTTGGCTTCTCTATTTTTGCGCTTAGAACTTGGCAATAGCATGGCTGTTGATAGGAAACAGGTTTTGGCTTCTGTGAGCTTGTCTATAGCAAAGCTAATTATCTCCCTGTTCTTGTCTAGAACCATCCACAAGTAGCTCAGCACTGAACTACCCAGTTGCCTTAACAAGGCCCGCTCTTCATCGGAGCCATTTGAATTATACCATGTCGGATTCTTCTGTCCCACCTTCTCAGCCCACGACATCTTCAATATTTGGCATTGGCAGTCCTGGACTCTCTTTCATAAAAGAAATCAAAGATTCTACCTCTCAACAAGACAATGACAACATGTCAAGAACCGGTGGCTTCTCCTCTAGAGCATCTGACAAAGGTGATTTTTCTGTTCTCTGTTTAGTTGACTTTTTTTTAAGGTGAAGTCCTTTGCGTTCTTTAATATTGCACATCACCTTAGTAAACAAAATAGGAGAATGTCAGCTTTGGATGCAAGAATTAAATTTGTTTTAGTGTTTTAGAAGCGTATAATCCTATCACCTTTTGAATAGAAGCCTGCTTTGGAATAGGTTTGTGATACCCTGCTGTTACAAAGAGTCGATGCTGAAATACACACTTTCAGCTAGGTTATATGTAAATTTTGAACTGGGATGGTAGGAAATCAGGCTGACTTGCTGTAGCTTGACAACTAGGCTGATTGTCTAGAAGGAAGAGTGACTCAGAATATCTAACAGACAAGACATCTGGTTAAATGTGAATAAGTGTAGGTGACAAATAGAATCACAAGATGTTTTCCTGTGTTTTAGCAGGAGAAGATAAGGAAAGTACTCTGACATAACACGTTGCGGGCTGTTTTTTTGACCTTTCTTGGTAGAAGGCTTCAGCTGTCAATACTTTCATGTCTTTTGCCAAATTCCTTAAGGAAGGCACACCATTTTAAAATAAGAAATAAGCATTGTGTCGATGTAGATTGGTACCTAGGTCTTCTCATTGAAAGGGCAAACAGCAGGTTTGCAGCTTTTTCTAGTCCCCCAGATAGACAGGGACTGAAGTGTCCTCAGCAGGTTTTTCAGAGAACTTGTGTATGGTTGAGAGTAGAGTTGCTGGGCTTTAGCAGTGTAACCTGAGTGCACTACAACTTTCTGGTGTGTCGTCGTAAAACATATGTGGGAAGAAGATCGTTAACTCTTAGAGCAGCCTTCTAGGAATCTTCCAGGTGTAAAACCTGTGCAATTATGATCTGTGCTGGCCTCCAGCCTTTCACCAACATAGAAAAAAGCTTTGTCTGTACAAATGCACTGATGTTTATGCAGTTCTCTTTGCTTTTAGCACAAAAGGAAAAAAAAATCTTCTGCACTGGAAGCACAGTATTAACTTGTTAAGATTGCTGAAAACTACTTGCAGCTCAGTGAACAGTTTTCAAGTTTGTAGCTGTTACTTGATTTTCAGTCTGTACACGAAGCTGTTTAAAGAAGCTGAAGCCACGTTTATTTTTCCGTGTTGAAGAACTTGAATTAGTGTGGTCTTTACTGTTAAAGTTCTGTATGTACTAGAGACGTTTACATTTAACATATATGTCACTTTGGCAGATGTTGGAGTTTTAAAAAATACTTCTTCATCACTGCTCTGGACCACAGAAGCTGATAGAACTCATTCCCTCTCGCAGCATTCTGCAGCTAGCTCTAAGAAACCTGCATTCAGTTTATCTGCTTTTGGAGGAATGTTTCCTGTAAGTACTGCACAGTCTTTCTTTTAATCACTTTGAATGTGTACCTGTTTTTCTGTCCACTTAACGTACTGTGTTTCTGTAGGCACGCGGAAGCACATCTGACTGTAAGAAAAACCAGCCTGGGTATTCTCCATTTTACCCTGGAAAGACGGCCTATGGTGGTGCAGCTGGAAATCAAAGCCGTCGATGATAGAACCTTATCGGGTATGAGAAAAGTAGGGTAATGGGAAATAGTGATGGAAATAAAAAAGCAGCACTGCCAAAGGAGCTCTGAGCAGGGAGCTGAGTATGTGGTACCAGTTGCTCTTCTGCCCTCTTGGTCTACAAAAATAGAAGAGATTGATTTCGGGTTAAGTTCTTTTTTTAGCAGTTTTTACCACAGGTAATACTTGCCAGAAAGAGCAAGAATGACAGTTTAGGCTAGTTGTTGGTAGTTGGGGTTTCCTCTGTTGTTACTTCTTTCAAGAAGTTCCATTTGAGTGCCATTGTCTGCCTCTGACTACATTGCATGGTGTTATTTTAATGTAAATAAAAACAATGGCAGCATAACTTTGAAAAGTTGTGTTTATAGTAGCAAAAGCTACAGTAGTCAAACCTGGCCAATGTTTATCTGTGGATCTTTTTTTGCAAGCATGCCTGCACTCATGCTATGGATCTGTTGTATAAAACTGCGCTCTTTAAAAATATCTAAAATTAACTTTGCTGATCCTTTGCTCTTCTGTTACGTAGAGGCATGCAGGCCTAAATGCAGTCCCAAGATAAGCAGTAACATGCTTTCTATTTTGAATGATTCATATAGTTCTTGAAGAGAGGTATTTGCCCCCAAGAGTTCTTGGAAATAGCAAATAAAAACTGCTGACAACTCTGATTAGCTAGAGCTGAATCGAAAAGGAAAGTCAAATCAGGTTTGGTAGGAATGCATTTAAATCAATTTGACTTTTATCAATAAATCAAAAGGAATTTTAAGGAAATGAAAACGTGGGTTTGCTGGATCTGTTCTGACAGTCCAGCTCTGCAATGGAACAAGGGCAGTAGCTCACTTAGGGGAAACCTTGAAAACTTGTGGTTCAAAGCTGGGAACCCTCTTTGGTCAGCTATTTTTGTTTTCTAACAATAGTAGTGGATTATGGTAACAAGAGGAACCAAAATACTAGGCTTTTAAAGGAGAGAGAAGCTTGCTTATTGCTGCTTGCTGTGGATTACAGCGATGTACTAGAGAGTCCAGCGAAGGGCCACCAAGACGATCAAGGGTCTGGGAGCACCTCTCCTCTGAGGAGAGGCCGAGACTGCTGGGACTGTTCAGCATGGAGGAGAGGAGGTTCGGGGGGGGGGGATCTTATTGATGTATGTAAATACCTGAAGGGATGGTGCAAAGAGCAAAGAGAGCCATTCTGTTTTCAGCGGTGCCCAGTGCCGGGTCAGGAGGCAACAGGCACAAACAAAATGAGGTTCTGTCTGAACATCAGGAAATGCTTTTCTCCTGTGCGGGTGATGGAGCCCTGGCACAGGTTGCCCAGAGAGGCTGTGGAGTCTCCCTCTTTGGAGATCTTCAAGAGCTGACTTGACATGGTCCTGGGCAACCTGCTTGGGGTGGCCCCGCTTGAGCAGGGGGTAGAGCAGGTGATCTCCAGAGGTCACTTCCAACCGTAACCGTTCTGTGAGTCTCACTTGTGTTTTTATATGCTGCATGGTCTGCTTCCTGTCTTCATATCGTGTGATAAACACAGAGGGGTTTAACATGGGAAGAAAAAAGTCACACCAAGGGAAGTTTTTGCATGATATTTGAAGCTGGGTGGTGCAAATAAACAGTTCACTTTTTCAGTGTAATATTTAGATGTGTTACAGTTGAAATCGGATCTTTATCTTTTAAAGCAAAGATTTGCAGCCAACTTTAATCTTGGGGGAAGGGAGGAAGCAAGAGAGAAGTAAAACTAGTTCCTGGTTATGATTGTATACACTGATTTTAAGATGGTACACCTACACCATCGTGAAACTCTGAGGTCTGTGTTGTTAGTGAAAGCACTTTCTGTACCACAAGCCTTTTCTTGAGTTCTGTTTCCCTGATTACTGCTTTGGAGGCCTTAGCAGTCCTAGCATCATCCGTCTTGACCTTTTACAAGTATGGATTTCTTTTATTACTCGCGCAACAAGCACGAGCAAGATGCACTGAGGCCCAAGGTAAACTTCGTTGTACTCAGCATGTACTCTTCTTTACGGCTTGAACTCCCAGTGACTGCATTTTTCTCTGTCATCAGAATATATTGGTTATATCATCAGTGTAGCCTTGGAACATAAAATACATGCCTCCTTAACTCGGAATTGACCATTGTAACACTTAAAATGCTAATTTTCCAGGTACAAATGAGAAGGAGAGTTAGGCAAGAAAAAGTGCAGTCCCACGCTACCTTAAGTACCGCAGCACGGTGCATCTTGGAGGCAATGGAGAAGCTGTCAAGCCCTTTGATGGTAAATAGCACTTCTTTTAATCCATTTTTGCTTCACGTGTTTCTAAAACTTAGTAAATGTGCCATCAAAGGAGAAAGATAAAACTGTTCTTCCTTATGTTGTGTCAAGTTTAATTTATTGCACTATTTTTTCAACAGGATGCTAAAAAAATGCCACCTCTTTTGCCGCTGAGTTCTGTAAGTTGACCATGAGCCCCCATATTTTTGTTGCAGGGAACCCTCTCTCAGGAAAAAAGAAAAGCCCTCTAACATTTAGGCTTTATTTTTTCCCTTAGCCTCCAGACATAGATGAACTGAATGTTCCTGACCTTCAGCCCAAACGAAGAAAGGTAAGAACCAATAATGTCTTAAGATGAGGTAGATAACTTTTCTAATGCTTTATCACCTTTTATAAAGGGGATGTCGTTGTGGGAGTCTATTACAGACCGCCCGGCCAGGACGATAGTGCCGATAACTTATTCTTTACAGAACTAAGAGAGGCCTCAAGATTAACTCCCCTTGTCCTTATGGGGGACTTCAACTTGCCAGACGTTAACTGGGAGTGCCACACGGCTGACACGAGCAAGTCCAGGAGGTTCATGAAGCACCTAGATGATAACTTCTTGGTGCAGGTGCTGACGGAGCCAACTAGGAAAGGTGCCCTCCTAGACCTGTTGCTAGAAAACAGAGAGGGTCTGGTGGGAGATGTGGTGATTGGTGGCCGCCTCGGTCATAGCGACCATGAAGTGGTTGAGTTCAAAATTTACGGTGACAGAAGGAAAAGTGCCACCAAGACCTCATCCCTAGATATGGGGAAGGCGGACTTCAGGCTGCTCGGGGAACTAGTCAGCAAGGTCCCCTGGGAAGCTGCTCTTGAAGGCCTTGATGTCCACCAGTGCTGGTCACTCTTTAAACGATGCCTCCTAGAAGCACAAGAACAGGCAATTCCTAAATACCGCAAGTCAGGCAGGCGCGGCAGGAGGCCGGCATGGCTGAACAGGAACATTCTTATGGAGATCAGGCGGAAACAGAGAGTGTTTCGCTACTGGAAGGAGGGCTGGGTGACATGGAAAGAATACAGGGATGCTGCTCGTGTCTGTAGGAAGAAAATTCGTGTGGCTAAAGCACACCTAGAGTTGAAGCTGGCTGTGTCTGTGAGAGAAAATAAAAAGGGTTTTTTTAGATATGTGAATGGAAAAAGGAGAACTAAAGAATATATAGGGCCGCTCCTTGACAGGGAAGGTCTTCTCACAGACGATGACATAGGCAAAGCAGAGACGCTTAACGCCTTCTTTGCCTCTGTCTTCAATGCCGATGATGGGCTTCGGGACCCAGAGTGCCCCGAGCTGGAGGACCGGGACAGTGGGGATGACAAACTCCCAACCGACCCTGAACGTGTGCGGGATCTGCTACTCCACCTGGATCCCTACAAGTCCATGGGTCCGGATGGGATTCATCCCCGGGTGCTGAAGGAGCTGGCGGACGTCATCGCGGAACCTCTCTCAATTATTTTTCAACGATCCTGGGAGTCTGGAGAGGTCCCAGTAGACTGGAAGCTGGCAAATGTTGTGCCGATTTTCAAGAAGGGTCAGAAAGAAGACCCTAGCAATTACAGGCCTGTCAGTCTCACATCAGTGCCTGGTAAAATCATGGAAAAGATGGTTCTCGAACGTATTGAGGCGCACCTGGGGGACAAAGCAGTCATTGGTCCCAGCCAGCATGGGTTTGTGAAGGGTAGGTCCTGCCTAACTAACCTGATTTCCTTTTATGATAAGATCACCCGTATGGTAGACCAAGGGAAACCAGCTGATGTGATTTTTTTGGACTTCAGCAAGGCTTTTGACACGGTTTCCCATAGGATCCTACTGGACAAAATGTCCAGCATACAGCTAAATAAAAACATCATACGATGGGTGAGCAATTGGCTAACGGGCAGGGCCCAAAGGGTTATGGTGAATGGGGCTGCGTCAGGCTGGCGGGCGGTCACCAGTGGGGTCCCTCAAGGCTCCATTTTAGGGCCGGTACTTTTCAATATTTTTATAAACGATCTGGATGTAGGAATAGAAGGCATTTTGAGCAAGTTTGCTGATGACACCAAACTTGGAGGAGTTGTGGACTCGAATGAGGGTGGAAAGGCCTTGCAGAGGGATCTGGATAGGTTGGAGAGCTGGGCAATCGCCAACCGCATGAAGTTCAATAAGAGCAAGTGCCGGGTCCTGCACCTGGGACGGGGAAACCCTGGCTGCACGTACAGACTGGGCGATGAGACGCTGGAGAGCAGCCTAGAAGAGAGGGATCTGGGGGTCATGGTAGACAGCAAGTTGAATATGAGCCGGCAGTGTGCCCTGGCAGCCAGGAGGGCCAACCGTGTCCTGGGGTGCATCAAGCACGGCATCGCTAGTAGGTCAAGGGAGGTGATTGTCCCGCTCTACTCTGCGCTGGTGCGGCCTCACCTCGAGTACTGTGTGCAGTTCTGGGCACCACAGTATAAAAAGGACATGAAACTGTTGGAGAGTGTCCAGAGGAGGGCTACGAAGATGGTGAAAGGCCTGGAGGGGAAGACGTACGAGGAACGGCTGAGGGCACTGGGCCTGTTCAGCCTGGAGAAGAGGAGGCTGAGGGGAGACCTCATCGCAGTCTACAACTTCCTCGTAAGGGGGTGTCGAGAGGCAGGAGACCTTTTCTCCATTAACACCTGCGACAGGACCCGCGGGAATGGAGTTAAGCTGAGGCAGGGGAAGTTTAGGCTGGACATCAGGAAGGGGTTCTTCACAGAGAGAGTGGTTGCACACTGGAACAGGCTCCCCAGGGAAGTGGTCACTGCACCGAGCCTGACTGAATTTAAGAAGAGATTGGACTGTGCACTTAGTCACATGGTCTGAACTTGGGTAGACCTGTGCGCTGTCAAGAGTTGGACTTGATGATCCTTAAGGGTCCCTTCCAACTCAGGATATTCTATGATTCTATGATCACTATTAGAAAAATTTTCTCAAACCTCAATGACAACATACGCATCTAATCAAGTTAATATTGGCATCTATCTACAAGAGATGAAGGGCTGTAAAGATTACTCACGTTAAGATTTGTTATCTTTGTAAGTTGAGAGCAACGACTCTAGAACACACGAAGTAGTTTTATCTTGTCCCCCAGTTTGGGGTGAAGCTGCATATTAAAATTCCTGTTGAGGAAATTTTTTCTCTTGAAGAAATGATCACAAACAGAAAAATACTGCTTGACTGGTCATATAGACTTTGTACGGACTTGGGTGTTCATTTAGGCACAGCAAACTATTTTTCTGCTTTTTATCACCATTCAAGGTAAAACCAGGGAAAATTGTTAATTTCTGACACTATAAATCTTATGCTCCTGAATTCCTATTTGGAGGTAGCACAGAATTGGTGATAGTGCTGTGGTAAAGCATGATTTCCTTTCATTTTGTTTAAAAAATGAAAACCGGTCATCTTTTTTTGGTGACTTTAATTAGGGGTGTCATTGGGTTTATTAAATTGCAAAACCCTGAAAGGACCGCTTTAAGATGAGGTGACTGAAGGAAAGAACAGGATGTGCACACTCTTCATCTTCTGTTCTAATGAGAAAAGGGACAATGTCTGAAGAAGTTTCTGTGCTAATTCCTTGATTGGATGTATAATTAAGTTTACAATCACTTGAGAGTTTGCAAACATGTCAGCTTTCCTGTGCCATCTTTTCACCATATGCCAAATGACAAAGGCATAGAGAAGTGAAGTCTATCATAAGTATTATCCAAATAACTAAAAACAAATCTGGTGTGAACTCTCAGTTCTATTATAGAAATACACCTGTGATAAGGCATTAAGAAAGATCTGCCAGATTTGCAACAGAAAGCCTGAAGTTGTCAGCCACTAAATGAATGTTGCACGCAGCTGTCACTGGGTAGAAGGAGATAGATTGTCTCTTCATAATACTGGAATTCATAATGCTTGGCAGGAGAAGGGTAGCCCTTGATGAGAAGCAATTATTTGCGAAGGAGATGATTGTGTGTTTTCCTGCTGAAGTGAACGTGGGGTTGACAGAACACTTGTGCACTCAGGCTAAACTTCTGCAGCGGGTCGCAGTGATGTGGTATTTTTCTTATTTCAAGGAACTGTACCAGGCAGAATAGCTCTTGGTGTATTAAATGCCTAACTGGGGGAATTAATATTTTTCTGTTTTACCTTTAAACCAGCAGTGAACCATCGTTCACTCGAAGGAGATTTGTGAGCTTCCATAAAACGTATTTTATTCAAGGTTTCAAAATGAATGTAATAATTTTTAGAAAGATATATTTTTGTACACTTCATAGGTGGTGTGAATTCTGTTACTAAGAGTTGGGAGATACTGCGAAACTAAAGCTGCAATGTAAACCATTTTCTGTTGGTATTGATTTGAACAATAGCATACTTGCTAAGACTGTATCTTCTGATCCTTAAGACTGCAGGTGGAGCCATTGGTAAATCTTTTAGGCTTCAGGATTTGTTTTCTGTTTGACAGTTCAGTTAAGTCAGTTCTGCAGAACATGCGGTGGTCTGTGTTAAAAAGTAACTCTGGTCTGTGAAAATGTGTTGAAAAATGAAGTCAAACCCAACTTGATGTGCATCTAAATGCACATCTAAAGCATTGGATCATAGTTTAATGAATGAGATTATTGTAAGATTGACAGCTTTATTTTGAATGTGTTCTATTGTTTGTGTAACTTTGAAGGGGGAAAATGTAGGGAATGTGAAGCCCAGAAGCCTGTATAATTAGTTGCTTAACGCTTTGAATGTTAAATTAATGAATTAAGCTATTAAAAAAAAAATCAGTGTGGGCACAGGAAAAGATAGGAACATATAGGAACCCGAGTTATTTTAATTATGGTAGCATGAATTATTTTGTCTACAAAGCTAACTGCCACATTTTGAAATGGAATTCAGTCAGACTTTGGCTACTTAAATATAGCTTTATGGATTTTGTTACTGGTTTTCTGGTGATTTCCCTCTATAGGTTGAATGCTTTTTGGAATTCTCAAATTGTATTCACAGAGTGCCAAGACCGATGGGAGCTTTATAGTTCTGTAATTTGTTTTCATCAATAAATATTGGAATTATTTTGGGTAGACGTCAGGATAAATTGATTGCTGTTTCCCTTTCAAAGCTGGACTCCCAGAATGAGTCCCCGCATCCACCTGTAAAGAGACTTGTGAAACCAAGGTTAAACCTTCATTCAGTGCGTCGGGTCCGGTATTCTAAACCAGCAAAGACTTCAACTCCTGATTCCAGCAAAATTTGCAATGGAGTAGACACAAAGTACCAAGTAAGTACATTTTTGAGTACATTTTTGCTCTTCATATTGATTCCACTAAGCAGATTCTATATTAGAAACTCAATAATACGCAAAAGCTTTGTTCTCCACCCCGAGGTAAAAGCTTATGTTGCAGATTCCCAAAGGAGGATTCGGCTTGCTCTTACAAATTTGGTACAAAACGTAATTGTGTCCTGGAAGGTTTGCAGAGTTTTTCACGTGGAGGCATTTTGTGTCAGTGTTGAGAAACTATCTTGTGTAACATCTATTAGAGTAGAAGTGAATTAAATGGCTCTTGGGAAGGTCTCATGGCCGATTATCCTTAAACGTCATCTTTATTCGTCTTTCAAGATAAAGATAATGCAGTCCTAGCCCGTAGGATTCCCAAAAGTTGGAGTTGTGAGGTTTAACATTTTAGAGGACTAAATATCTCACTAAAATAAGTAGGTCTAATAGCTTATTACATATAGCTTAAAATACATCTTATCAGCCGTTTCACATGAGTGTTTTTTGTGTGCATGCCTCAGATCCGATACTTGTACTTACCAGGCTTTTATTTTCAGATCCACAGCTCTACTTGGATGTTGATGAAATGAACAGACAATTTATGGAGACAAGCGAAGAACTCTACGATTCACTCATGAATTGTCACTGGCAACCTCTGGATACGGTCACTTCTGAAATCTCCTCTGCTATTTAAGTGTCTTATATAGCATGACCGTTATGACCAAGGTGCTAAAACTACATTTCTTCTACGTTATTCTAGCTCATAAGTTTTAAAGCACAATGATAGGTTGTTTTTTTTTTTGCTATGCTTTTGACAGTTTCTGTAATCTTTTTGTTCATCACTCTCTTCTTGGAGCATCATGAAATCATGTAAATATTCTAGAAATGTAAAGAGTTAAATGGGGTCTAAAGATAGACTTGCCTGTGTAAATAAAAATTTGTTTCTGCAAACCTGCCAGCAAGGGATTTACTTGTACCTGTGTGCAGCACGTTCTCTTCTGGCTTGTGAAACTTAACAAGGTAGTAAGGGTATTTCATCTGCCTTTATTTTTATATGGGTGTTAGGACACAAGCGAAATCTCGTTTTCACTTGTTTTCCTGGTCACTTAGGTAAGTGACAAGCCAAGCCCTTCATGTGCTTGCTTAGATTGGAAGTGTGTATGGGAGACACCTACAGGCCTTGCTGTGGAGCACCTGTCTGCTCCTTCCTGCAGGCTGCTGGCTCTAACTGTACTGCTGATATCTGCTAGGTCAGCTGAAATTGGCTTCTAAATCTGGAATTTTAAGCATATGGAAGCGTAACTTGAACTGCCATAGCTACAAACATCCCATGGAATGAGGATGAAGTCTGTTGGCACTCTGCATCAGCATTCAGCTTTCCCTTGACCTTCTTACTGGTAGACTTCTCAGCTGACTTACAGCAAAGAAGTTGCTGCAATATAATACATATTCTTAACCTAACAAAAAAATCTTGGAGAAAACAGCTTGCTGGCTTAAAGAAGGAAAAATAACACCAGGAACAATAAAAAAAAATAATCCTAGTAACAGCTCCTTAAGTTATATCCTCTGCTACTCTCTAATTTCTCTGGTCTTCCTTCATTCATGGTAATGAAGTTTATAAAGCTTTGGTAGAAGGATGACAGTATTCAAGTCAAAGGAGACGAGAGCAATGAGGAAAGCTTTGCTTGAAGCTAGAGCGGTCTTGCAAGTTGCTGCCTTTATATGCTGTTCTCATCTCGAAGGGTGTAGAGTATTTTCCAGTCATAGGGACTCCATAACCCTATGAGTATTGAGAAATAGTTGCTAATTAACAGTGTATATAATAATTAACTGAGGCTGGAAACAAAAGAATATTCTTCCAAGAAAAAAAAGGAAGCAGAAATTACTGTACTTAATAGCTGTGGAAGCTGTTAAACCTAGCTGACACAGCTTTGGTACTGCCCTGTGTGTTTTGGGGGCAATATAAACCATAATTACTGTGATGGCAGGTAAGAATCAAATTCTTATGGCTTAGTGTAGTTAGGGAAAGTAGCAGTCGTAAGCTGGGTGCTGTTCTTGAATGTAATACAAATTCTCCTTTGTGACTCCTCAGTACTTAGAGGTTACTTCTAGCTGATCAGCAGAAACAGCTTCTGTTTGCTATTAGCTGTTGGGTTTTTGCTAGGAGTGTTTTCAGTCCTGAATTGAAATGACGACATCCTGAAACAGAAAAGGCTTTTGGAGTGTTACAGGAAACATGTTCTTCGTGGTTCTAGTGCCGGTGTACATGTAGGAAGAGACAGAAGGCAAGGAACCTCACGTAGGCGGAGGGGGTGAGGTGGGTGAGGTGGCATCACAGTTTGAGCCGTTGCAGTTAGATCTTCCCAAAGCATGGAAGCAATGTGGCGGGGAATCAGGGGCTTGGTGGGTTGCTTCCTTGTGTGAGCCAGTGAGTCTTTAGAGGGGCAGATTAATAAGACAGGAGTTAGAGGTGGAATAGATGAAGCAAAGAAAATCTGGGTGGGAAAAGGGTTGCTTGTATGTGTATTTGGAATTGTTTCAGGGGATTGAGCTGGGGCAGATTCAAGGTAATAGATGCAGCCTCCTTGAATTTGGATGGCAGCGCTGAAGCTTCAGAGCCTTACAAGGTTTGATGCCACTTCAATTGTAGTGCGATTTTTTTTTTAATCTATTTTCTTCAATGTGAGCAGCAAGGCAGCTTCCAGGTGTGTGCCTGCTTTGACATGGCTTGCTTTGCATCACCAAACACAGTAGTTAGGTTGCATTGAGTACTTTGTGGAAACACTCGTTGTGTTGTCAACTGAAAAGGTAGTGCTACAGATGTGTTGGCCCAGCAGAAACAATGTGAAGTATCAGTGCTGTTTTTTGGCCTTTGAGAGGCTGGTCCCTAACATGTGACTTGTAATGAGGGTCCAATTAACTTCAATTAACCAATTAACTTCAGTGACTCACGTTAATAGACACCGTTTGACTGCATCGGCAAATATTTCTGAGTCATGAGTGTCATTAAAGGCCCGTCACCCTATGGAAATCCTTCTAAATAAGAAAAATGGAATTAAAATAAATAAATAAAGCAGCATTTGAACTTATGAGCAAACATAGCGTAGCTGCCTTTGACACTGATCTGGAGGAGAAAAATCACGTTATCTTAATAGGGTTGCCTTAATAGGTTTGGTGTAGGTGAGGGAGGGAAGTGTTTTTTGTTGGCCCAGCTGTTCCATGTCCAATGCAGGAGGGGGCTGAGAGTGATTCCCTGAGCACGTTGGTGTGGAAATCAGTGATTTCACTGCCCGATGCGTGTTATTAAGGGCACAATGTGTACCCCGTTACCACTTTCATTTATTTTCTGTGGTGAAAATCCGTCACAGTGCCTATGTTTCCCGTGCCACATGGTAGAATTCAGCGTGGCGATCGCTTCCTGGACCAAGGCGGCCACGAACCCAGCCTCAAACACTGCGTGTGCTTGGGTTAACAGTGTGGGGGCTACTGGTGTGGGTTTTTTTTTGTTACTGGTGTGGTTGTGGGTTATCGGTGTGGGGGTTACTGGTGTGAGAAACACTCCGTAGCCAATAACTTAGGCTCAGGCGAGGATCTCAGTGAAGTAGTAATTTATTTGCGATTGCAATGGCGGGCGCCCCACAAGCAGGAGAGAGCGCATCTACTAGTTCCAAAACACAGTTTATATACCTTTTGATGGCAGGACCCTCCCCTGTTTCCCCACTGAGTGGGTAATCCAGGTTCACAATCTATCTGATGCTTCACAAACAATGCATGGCCTTCAGTTGCCGGCCTGTTAAATTTCAAATGTCTTTTGACATTTTTACTGCTTGAAGTGGTAATGTTTCTTCACTTATCTGACTTGACACCGTGATTTTCACCTAATTGTCCTAAGGAGTCTGGTTGTCTGCGTTTCACTAGGTCGCCTGCTAAACTTTCTTATCACTGTAAGCATATCTCAGTACTGTAATACACAATGAATGTTCGTTCATTGTCTTCTGTAAAAACAAGGAGTTCTGTTTGAGGAACGGGAGTTGTGAAAACTCCCTGCTGAAGTAAGGAGCTGTATAATGCTTAGCTAGACACTATGAAAATTCCTTTGCTTAATGTAACAAAAAAGAGAACCCTCTCCCCTTCTCTCCTTCTGCATCTCAGTAGCCTCTTTTGTTCAAAAGACACCGCTGCAAAGTTCGTGTAGCCATCTCCTGATAAGTTGTTAAACTAGTGTATCAACATCTTGCCTTCCTGTCTCACGCTGGGCCAACATGACCAAATAAAGAAAGAAGTTGAACCACAACGCCGAGGAAGACTACGGCCTTCATCTTCACGACCACCAGAGGGACAGAGACGACCCCCTAGCAACAGTGCGCGCAGTCGCAGAACACACCCGGACGTGCTGCGTAATCCTGAAATCACCAAGATATAAAAAGGGACCCTGGGGGGGGTGAGGTGCGCACCGTTGGCGGAGCCGAGACTCCCCGGCCGCCCAGCGCTGTTTTGCTTGCTGTTGCTTACTCAATAAATTCCTTTCTATTATTAATGCAATGCTCTCTGAAAATTAATTAAGGGGGCAACTTATAACAAATTTGGTGCCGTGACTCGGATGAAGGCAATCTGATTGAAAGACCTTCGGAGGGGGCGCCCCGCTGATTTCAGCGGCCTTCGCTAGGATTACTTTCATTCAAATCCTTCACCGACGAACCCTAAATTCGGCAGCAAGCAAATAAAGCCGGCAACCCCTAGTAATCTTTGTGCACGAAGACCGAACGGAGACTCAGGAGTGAGTAAGTATAGGCTGGTGATCCGTTCGGTTGGGGTTGGGTATCCTGGAGCGTAGCGTTGTGAGACGTCCAATTGCGGACGAAGCGAGTGCGGACCCCTCGGTAGTGCGGTTCCCACATCCCGCGAGGGACTGGGCCACGAAAAGGGGGAAGCGATTTGTGTGTGTGTGTGTGAAGGCCCTCCAGAAGATGGGACAGAAGAAGAGTAAGCCTTCTGGTCCCATGGGCGGGGTAACGTCTGATGTTAGGTTACCCCGGGATTAATGATTAAAAATTGGGAGGATTCCCCTTTTAGGCGGGGAAGGAATAAAGTAAAAATGATACATTATTGTGTTGAAGTTTGGGGTGGTAAACAGATTCGAGGAGACCACCTTTACTGGCCCGTATTTGGGTCCTTTGAAGATTGGGTTTGCCAGGCCCTAAATATTTATGTAAACTCAAAGGAACCTTTTAGTTTGGAAGAAAGTGAATATGCACATTTGTGGATCAGCTTGGAAACTCGAGCCAATTTATATCCTCTAAAAGAAAAAGGAGGGGATGGGAGGCACAAGAAAAAACGAGAATTAGAGACCCCAGCCCCACTGCCTCCCTATATTTCACCACCACCACCTGCAGCCCCTCAGACTCCCGGGCTTCCTAATCTGCAACCCCAGGGAGACTCTGATAGCGACTCTGACTCTAGCGTTCAGGGACCAGTGACTAGGAATATGTGGCTGTCCCCATTAACTCTGGGGACGTCCAAGATTTTAAGAAAGACAGGAGGAGGGTAAGCGAGCTTTAATGGCAACTGGCATAATGTTTCCAGCTGCTGAGGAATAATTCTAACTGGAATAATAACTGTACATTGTATATTGTATATATACTAGCCCGGGCATTTTTGTTAAAGTGTTCTTTTATACCTATGTTAATATGTAAATATGTAAATATAAGAACTGCCATTGAGGTGTATGTCTAAGGGAACAAAATTTGCCCAGGCATATTATCGGCTCATCAGGTTTAAATGTTCCCAGTGTAATTGTCTACAGGCAATTAATTTACAGTGGTCTGATTTTACTTGTGTATCTATATATTGTGGATTTTGGAGGGATTGGGATTGACTAGTAAAGAGATTCTAGGAAAGCGGTGGAATATTAACCACTGTAGATTACAATAGGAAAAGTTCAAAGCAAAGAAATCCCGAGGAAAAGCCCCCTAGGATGTATACTAACACATTGGAGGGATATAGTGGGATGAGAGGGTACAGAGAGTAAAAGAACCCTTATCAAATATTGTAATCAGTGGTGGCCACTTTATAAACTAGAGGATGGAGCGGAGTGGCCCCTAAATGGAAGTATTAATTATAACACCATATTACAGTCAATGTTGTTTTTGTGGAAAGAAGGAAAACAGGATGAAATGTTGTATATTGAGGTTGTTTCAGCATCTTGGAGGGAAAAGGTACGGAATTAAGTTGGCCCCTGACTGAGCCTTTGATGTCGGCATTAGAAAAGTAAAGGCTAGAGAAAGATAAAGGAAGTGTTAAAAGGTTTGTTGAAAGTGTTAAAGGTATTCAAAGTTGTATGAGCAGGGAAAGGTGATGTAGGCATTATCTAAGTAACAGTCTAGAAGTTTTGGTATATTTGCATATTTGCTGTGGTGTTTGTTCAGTTTCCCAAGCATCGGGGAGGGGGGAACAGCCTGCTCCACCAGGGGCCTCTCCAGCGGCCACAGGGGGGCTTCGGCTCCAGCGCCTGGAGCGCCTCCTCCCCCTCCTTCTGCACTGACTTTGGTGTCTGCGGGGGGGTTTCTCGCTCTCCCAACTGCTGTTGAGCAGCAGCTTTTTGTTTGTTTCTTTGTTTGTTTGTTTGGATTGGCTCTGGGCAGCAGTGGGCCCCTTTAGGGCCAGATGAAATTGTCCCTTGTCTACCACGGGGAGGTTTCTGTTTTTTGTTTTTGTTTTTGTTTTTGTTTTTTCATGGGGGCTGCCACTGCAGTTTCCCACCCCCACACCCCTCACACCCCCGAACCTTGCCATCAAACCCAATACACTGGGGCAGCTAAGTCATTACTGACTTGTAAAGTATCAGGGATTAAATTAACAAATGAAACCCTAAATGTGATAGGGGTAGAAGGGACTGGGATAACAGTGCCACTTTTGGGGGATACCAAGCTGAGACTAGGGGATAAAATGATCACTGGGCAATTATTGTATGTATCCAAGGCAGAGACTAACTTGTTGGGAAGGGATTTGATGATTAAATTGGGCATTCAACTAGTAAATTGTTAGACTAGAATAACAGTGTTATTAATGGAGTGCTCTCTGGCCCTGAGAGCAAACATACATGTATATTCACCTCTGACTGGAAAGACCCTGAAATGGGTGCGGAAGCAACAATATAGGTGGACAATTTTACCTCAGGGCTATACAGGGCCACCTATCTATTTGGGTAAATTCTAAAAAAGATTTTGGAGCAACTACAACCTCCCAAGGAGGTATTAATGTTACAAATATGTGGATCATTTTAAGGAAAATCGATACTCCCTGATGGGAGAGAAATGCTGAATAAAGTGATAATGAGGCAAATATTAACTGTTTTACATCAGAAGAGTCATTGGGAGGTGCAAGCAATGTGTGATGTTGTTCTAAGAAAGCATGTCTATGTAGGAATATATACTTTAGAGAAGCACACATGCAGAGGATGTACTATATGTCAAAAGGTAAATAACAAGGCCTTCTGTAACCTGTCTAGAGGGGGACGGGAGCCAGGGTTTTGACCTTTCCAAAGTATACAGGTAGACTTTACTAAGTTACTTGTTTGTCGTAATTGACCATGTGACTGAATGGGTGTAAAGCTTTACTGCAAGGGTTAAAGCAGGCCTTAGCAATTGAGTGGGATTTTTCACAGCACCCCTCCTCTTCTGGAAAGGTAGAGCGAATGAATGGTGAAATTAAGAAACAACTAACAAAACTTGTGCTGGAAACTAAGGCTTCTTGGGTAAAATGCTTACCCCTTGCACTGTTAAACATATGGACACAGCCCAGAACTGATGTAGGAATTTCTCCTTTTGAAATGCTATATGGTATACCCTATGACTTGGAATTGCCACTTGATCACCCTCAATTCTAATTAAGACTTGGAAAGAGACTGCTTTAACACCACGATGGGGAAGGCCCCTATGTTGTTTTGCTTACCACAGAAACGGCTGTTCGAACTGCGGAGAAAGGATGGACGCATGCCAGCCGTGTGAAAGGACCAATCCGGGAAGGTAAATGGGAGGCAGCTCCAGGCCCTGACGACTTGAAGCTGACACTAAGACGGACTCGATAAGTATTTTATATTATCTGTGTATCGTGGGAAGGGGAGGAGGCCCTGTTTCAAAGGCTCCCTAGTAGGTTCCCCTGAAGAACACTGCTGCTGCCAAGAAGAACCGATACCTTGTAGTTCACTGCAACCGAACTGACAAGCGAGGCAGAGAAGTGAAAACGGTGGGGGACTGAGGGGCCGCCAATTTAGATGGGCTCCAACCACCTCCTACGATACATGGGAGTCAGTATCATCATTTTGGTCAGCTATGGGTCTGCGCATCCCCATCAGCCTTTTAAATGGAGCTTGATCAGATGGAAGGATCAATTCGTCATCCAGCAAACAACGACAGCGGGTGCTCCCAGTTTCCGCATCACATTATGTGACCTGGTGTCAGTGCAGCCATGCTTTAACCGATCAGGATTTTATTTCTGCCCAAGTTCTAACCCAGGAAAGGGGTACTGTAATTACCCGAACATGTATTATTGTGCATACTGGGGGTGTGAAACCAGACCCTGAACGTGTGCGGGATCTGCTACTCCACCTGGATCCCTACAAGTCCATGGGTCCGGATGGGATTCATCCCCGGGTGCTGAAGGAGCTGGCGGACGTCATCGCGGAACCTCTCTCAATTATTTTTCAACGATCCTGGGAGTCTGGAGAGGTCCCGGTAGACTGGAAGCTGGCAAATGTTGTGCCGATTTTCAAGAAGGGTCAGAAAGAAGACCCTAGCAATTACAGGCCTGTCAGTCTCACGTCAGTGCCTGGTAAAATCATGGAGAAGATGGTTCTCGAACGTATTGAGGCGCACCTGGGGGACAAAGCAGTCATTGGTCCCAGCCAGCATGGGTTTGTGAAGGGTAGGTCCTGCCTAACTAACCTGATTTCCTTTTATGATAAGATCACCCGTATGGTAGACCAAGGGAAACCAGCTGATGTGATTTTTTTGGACTTCAGCAAGGCTTTTGACACGGTTTCCCATAGGATCCTACTGGACAAAATGTCCAGCATACAGCTAAATAAAAACATCATACGATGGGTGAGCAATTGGCTAACGGGCAGGGCCCAAAGGGTTATGGTGAATGGGGCTGCGTCAGGCTGGCGGGCGGTCACCAGTGGGGTCCCTCAAGGCTCCATTTTAGGGCCGGTACTTTTCAATATTTTTATAAACGATCTGGATGTGGGAATAGAAGGCATTTTGAGCAAGTTTGCTGATGACACCAAACTTGGAGGAGTTGTGGACTCGAATGAGGGTGGAAAGGCCTTGCAGAGGGATCTGGATAGGTTGGAGAGCTGGGCGATCGCCAACCGCATGAAGTTCAATAAGAGCAAGTGTCGGGTCCTGCACCTGGGACGGGGAAACCCTGGCTGCATGTACAGACTGGGCGATGAGACGCTGGAGAGCAGCCTAGAAGAGAGGGATCTGGGGGTCGTGGTAGACAACAAGTTGAATATGAGCCGGCAGTGTGCCCTGGCAGCCAGGAGGGCCAACCGTATCCTGGGGTGCATCAAGCACGGCATCGCTAGTAGGTCAAGGGAGGTGATTGTCCCGCTCTACTCTGCGCTGGTGCGGCCTCACCTCGAGTACTGTGTGCAGTTCTGGGCACCACAGTATAAAAAGGACATGAAACTGTTGGAGAGTGTCCAGAGGAGGGCTACGAAGATGGTGAAAGGCCTGGAGGGGAAGACGTACGAGGAACGGCTGAGGGCACTGGGCCTGTTCAGCCTGGAGAAGAGGAGGCTGAGGGGAGACCTCATCGCAGTCTACAACTTCCTCGTAAGGGGGTGTCGAGAGGCAGGAGACCTTTTCTCCATTAACACCAGCGACAGGACCCGCGGGAATGGAGTTAAGCTGAGGCAGGGGAAGTTTAGGCTGGACATCAGGAAGGGGTTCTTCACAGAGAGAGTGGTTGCACACTGGAACAGGCTCCCCAGGGAAGTGGTCACTGCACCGAGCCTGACTGAATTTAAGAAGAGATTGGACTGTGCACTTAGTCACATGGTCTGAACTTGGGTAGACCTGTGCGCTGTCAAGAGTTGGACTTGATGATCCTTAAGGGTCCCTTCCAACTCAGGATATTCTATGATTCTATGATTCTATGATTGCTATGGACTGGACACTCGGGGCTGGTCGGAATAAATTCTTACAAGTGGGATATGGGCCGCAAGGTTGTAACCAACAAGCAGGTCCCCGTTACAGGTGGTGAGGGCATGGTATAGGGTATACAGGAACCTTCCATGGAAATAAAGAAATTTGCAAGGTTCTATATATAAATATAACAAACTTGGATGATACTAGCTGGGTACTAGGAAAAATGTGAGGTGTCAGATTTTACAAACACAGAACAGATAGGGGAGGACTCATACTAATAAAAAGGAGGATGCCGATAGGCCCCAGGCAGTAGGACCAAATGAGGTATTGTCAGAAAATGTCCAGGGAATCCAGCCTGCGGAAAATACTACACTTCCAACCCTCGGCAGCCCTACGAGCTCAGGTAAAGCCGAGAATGATAACATAGCTGAGAATAACATATGGGGGGGTCATGAATGCCAGCTACCAATTATTAAACAAAACAAACCCAAATGTAACAAAACACTGTTGATTATGCTTTAGTATAAGGCCTTCATATTATGATGCTATCGGGAATCCTGGGGAGCCCTCCCGCACAAACGAGAACAACCCTCTACAATGCAGTTGGGGAAAAGACATAAGGGTAACACTAACACAAGTCACTGGAGGTGGTAGGTGTGTGTGCACGGTTCCTAGTGGGAAGTGTCACCTACGTAATATCATGGAGAATGGAAAACAATCAGCCGAGTGGTTAATCCCAGCCAACAACGCTAAGTGGGTTTGTTTGTGAGTGGGCATAACTCCTTGTCTATCACTAAAACTCTTTAATGCGTCTCGTGATTTCTGTATACAGGTGATAATTATACCAAGGATTCTATACCACCCTGAGGATTATATGTACACCCAGACACAGTGGAAAGTCATCATCTGGAAAGATGGGAACCATTCATGGCTCTAACTTTGGCCACCCTAATAATCCTGGGAGGAGCTGGAGTGGGGACCAGGGTAGCCTCATTGGTTAAACAAAATCAAGAATTTACTTCCTTATGCATTGCTGTGGACGAGGACCTGACCCAAATTGAACAATCCATCTCGGCCCTGGAAAATCTATCAGGTTGCTTTCAGAGGTAGTGTTACAAAATCATAGGGGATTAGATTTGGTATTTTTTTTATAACAGGACGGGCTGTGTGCAGCCCCGAAAGAGGAATGCTGTGTGTATGCTGATCACACTGGAGAGGTCAGAGATACAATGGCAAGACCCAGGGAAGGGTTGAAAAAAAAAGGAAACGGGAGAATGAAGCCCGACAGAGCTGGTACGAATCTTGGTTTAATTATTCACCTTGGCTTACTACTTTATTATCAACAATAACAGGACCTTTGTTGTTCTTAATAATAGCACTAACTTTTGGACCATGTATTTTTAATAAATTGATTGCGATTGTAAAGGGACATTTAGAAGCGGCACATTTAATGCTCATACATGCCAGATACGAGCCAATAAGTACCAACGAAGGAATCGAGGAAACATTAGTTCTTAGTAGCCAGGCATTGCAGAGCTTCAATGAACAAAATGAGTAACTAAAAGAAAAAGGAGGGATTGTAATACACAATGAATGTTCGTTCATTGTCTTCTGTAAAAACAAGGAGTTCTGTTTGAGGAACGGGAGTTGTGAAAACTCCCTGCTGAAGTAAGGAGCTGTATAATGCTTAGCTAGACACTATGAAAATTCCTTTGCTTAATGTAACAAAAAAGAGAACCCTCTCCCCTTCTCTCCTTCTGCATCTCAGTAGCCTCTTTTGTTCAAAAGACACCGCTGCAAAGTTCATGTAGCCATCTCCTGATAAGTTGTTAAACTAGTGTATCAACATCTTGCCTTCCTGTCTCACGCTGGGCCAACATGACCAAATAAAGAAAGAAGTTGAACCACAACGCCGAGGAAGACTACGGCCTTCATCTTCACGACCACCAGAGGGACAGAGACGACCCCCTAGCAACAGTGCGCGCAGTCGCAGAACACACCCAGACGTGCTGCGTAATCCTGAAATCACCAAGATATAAAAAGGGACCCTGGGGGGGGTGAGGTGCGCACCGTTGGCGGAGCCGAGACTCCCCGGCCGCCCAGCGCTGTTTTGCTTGCTGTTGCTTACTCAATAAATTCCTTTCTATTATTAATGCAATGCTCTCTGAAAATTCATAGAATCATAGAATCATAGAATATCCTGAGTTGGAAGGGACCCTTAAGGATCATCAAGTCCAACTTTTGACAGCGCACAGGTCTACCCAAGTTCAGACCATGTGACTAAGTGCACAGTCCAATCTCTTCTTAAATTCAGTCAGGCTCAGTGCAGTGACCACTTCCCTGGGGAGCCTGTTCCAGTGTGCAACCACTCTCTCTGTGAAGAACCCCTTCCTGATGTCCAGCCTAAACTTCCCCTGCCTCAGCTTAACTCCATTCCCGCGGGTCCTGTCGCTGGTGTTAATGGAGAAAAGGTCTCCTGCCTCTCGACACCCCCTTACGAGGAAGTTGTAGACTGCGATGAGGTCTCCCCTCAGCCTCCTCTTCTCCAGGCTGAACAGGCCCAGTGCCCTCAGCCGTTCCTCGTACGTCTTCCCCTCCAGGCCTTTCACCATCTTCGTAGCCCTCCTCTGGACACTCTCCAACAGTTTCATGTCCTTTTTATACTGTGGTGCCCAGAACTGCACACAGTACTCGAGGTGAGGCCGCACCAGCGCAGAGTAGAGCGGGACAATCACCTCCCTTGACCTACTAGCGATGCCGTGCTTGATGCACCCCAGGATACGGTTGGCCCTCCTGGCTGCCAGGGCACACTGCCGGCTCATATTCAACTTGTTGTCTACCACGACCCCCAGATCCCTCTCTTCTAGGCTGCTCTCCAGCGTCTCATCGCCCAGTCTGTACATGCAGCCAGGGTTTCCCCGTCCCAGGTGCAGGACCCGACACTTGCTCTTATTGAACTTCATGCGGTTGGCGATCGCCCAGCTCTCCAACCTATCCAGATCCCTCTGCAAGGCCTTTCCACCCTCATTCGAGTCCACAACTCCTCCAAGTTTGGTGTCATCAGCAAACTTGCTCAAAATGCCTTCTATTCCCACATCCAGATCGTTTATAAAAATATTGAAAAGTACCGGCCCTAAAATGGAGCCTTGAGGGACCCCACTGGTGACCGCCCGCCAGCCTGACGCAGCCCCATTCACCATAACCCTTTGGGCCCTGCCCGTTAGCCAATTGCTCACCCATCGTATGATGTTTTTATTTAGCTGTATGCTGGACATTTTGTCCAGTAGGATCCTATGGGAAACCGTGTCAAAAGCCTTGCTGAAGTCCAAAAAAATCACATCAGCTGGTTTCCCTTGGTCTACCATACGGGTGATCTTATCATAAAAGGAAATCAGGCTAGTTAGGCAGGACCTACCCTTCACAAACCCATGCTGGCTGGGACCAATGACTGCTTTGTCCACCAGGTGCGCCTCAATACGTTCGAGAACCATCTTCTCCATGATTTTACCAGGCACTGATGTGAGACTGACAGGCCTGTAATTGCTAGGGTCTTCTTTCTGACCCTTCTTGAAAATCGGCACAACATTTGCCAGCTTCCAGTCTACCGGGACCTCTCCAGACTCCCAGGATCGTTGAAAAATAATTGAGAGAGGTTCCGCGATGACGTCCGCCAGCTCCTTCAGCACCCGGGGATGAATCCCATCCGGACCCATGGACTTGTAGGGATCCAGGTGGAGTAGCAGATCCCGCACACGTTCAGGGTCGGTTGGGAGTTTGTCATCCCCACCGTCCCGGTCCTCCAGCTCGGGGCACCCTGGTTCCCGAAGCACATCATCGGCATTGAAGACAGAGGCAAAGAAGGCGTTAAGCGTCTCTGCTTTGCCTATGTCATCGTCTGTGAGAAGACCTTCCCTGTCAAGGAGCGGCCCTATGTATTCTTTAGTTCTCCTTTTTCCATTCACATATCTAAAAAAACCCTTTTTATTTTCTCTCACAGACACAGCCAGCTTCAACTCTAGGTGTGCTTTAGCCACACGAATTTTCTTCCTACAGACACGAGCAGCATCCCTGTATTCTTTCCATGTCACCTGGCCCTCCTTCCAGTAGCGAAACACTCTCTGTTTCCGCCTAATCTCCATAAGAATGTTCCTGGTCAGCCACGACGGCCTCCTGCCCCGCCTGCCTGACTTGCGATATTTAGGAATTGCCTGATCTTGTGCTTCTAGGAGGCATCGTTTAAAGAGTGACCAGCACTGGTGGACATCAAGGCCTTCAAGAGGCCAAATTAATTAAGGGGGCAACTTATAACAAGTACCACATTCCCTCCTTCTAAACAACGTAACTCTGCACAAACAACATTTCTATTCCCACACTGGTTATCGGTGGGGGGCTTTTTTGACGAGCACTGTGGGGTTGTGGCGCTGTCCCACCCCCGGCGCGGTGCTGCTGCACCCCAGCCTTCGGCACCACGGGGCACGGGGCGGGGAGGCTCCGCGGCCGTCTTTTAGCCCCGTTCTCGTGCTGTCCGGGCCGGCTTTTCTTATGGCGGCCGCTCCCCGAGGCCGCCATCCCTGAGGCGAGGCAGCCCCGCTCCCGTCCCCGTCCCCGTCCCCGTCCCCGTCCCCGTCCCCTCACTTCGCGCTTTCCCGCGCGGCCCCGCCTCCTCCTCCCCTCCCTCCCCTCCCTCCCCTCTCGCGAGGCCGGGGCCGGGGCCGTCGCGGGCGGGTGACGCGCGGCGCGCACCGCGCTGACGGGAGCCGCCATCGCCTGCCCCAGTTGGCCGCGTGAGGCGAGCGGCGGAGCGGGGAGGGCGAGGGACGGGACGGGACGGGACCGGGACCGGGACCGGGACCGGGACCGGGACCGGGCGGGGGGCGTGTGACGGCACAGAGCGAGGGGCGCGGCGGCATGGCCTCGGGCGGCCCAACGGCCGGCGGCGGAACGGCCGCGGAGGGCTCGGCCGGCGGCGGGTGCGGCGGAGGCGGCGGCGGTGGCGGTGCGGCCGCGCCGGAGCGGGAGCCGGAGCCGGAGCGCTTGGAGGAGGAGGAGGAGGAGGAGGAGGAGGAGAAGTTGCTGCGGCTGGCAGCAAGATGAAGAGGCGGCGCCACCGTTGGGGCGCCGCGAGGGCCCCCTACCCCCGGTTTAGGCAGGTGAGGAGCGGCCCCCACGCAGCGGGCCCTGCCCCACAGCGCCTCGGTTGCCCGTGTACTTATCGCTCAGCCCCTTCCTGACCCCCTCACCCGCCCCTTTATCCCTTTAATTGCCCTGTACCCACCTCCTTATCCCCTTAATTACCCCCTCAACTGTCCAGTTACCCCCCTAGTTACCCCCCCAGTTACCCCCCCAACCCTTTACTAACCCCCCTTAGTTACGCCTGCAGCCCCTTCCTGACCCCCTCAACTTCCTCTTTATTCCCTTAATCACCCCCTACCCACCTCCTTATCCCCTTAGCTACTCCCTCAACTGCCTAGTTACCCCTCAACCCCTTACTAACCCCCCTTAGTTATCCCCTCGGCCCCTTACTGATCCCCTTAATCACCCCCTGCCTACCTCCTTAGCGCCTTACTTTCCCCCTTTATTTCCTTAATCACGCTCCAGCCACCCCCGTACCCCCCTAGTTACCCCCTCAACCACTTAGTTACTGCCCTTAGTTACCCCCCCCAGCAACCCCCCTCAACTGCCTAGTTACCCCCTCGGCCCCTCACTATCCCCCTTATTGCTTTACCCAGCCTTTTACCCCCCTCCTCACCCTCCCTTTCATCCCCAGCCCACTGCCCTCAGGACCTCCAGGGCTTTCCCCACTCCCTGCACCCCGCCTCGCCCCCTCGTAAATTCTCTGCACGTTACCTGCCGGGCTTTACTTCTCCTTCGTGCGGGAGGGTCCGGTAGGTTGACGGTGAATGCAAATTCTGTAAATTCAGGGTGTGAAAATCCCCGTGCTGGAGGGGGGACACGCTGAGATCCCTGCCAGCAGCTCATTGCGAAGAAATGTCAGGCGCCCAGAGAGGTGCTCTGCAGACGCCCTCTGCACGTGTTCGTTCAGCCAAAACCTCTCCGCTATGAAATCAGCAACGTAACTGAGTATCATATGCAAAGCCGAGGGAGCACTATGCATGGATAGCTGCTCAGTTAGGTTTTTATCACTCGCAGAAGTGCCAAGTCCCTTACACCGTATATTGACAATCAGTCTAGTCCATCTAAAGCTGGCCTGGAAGGGCAATAAAACATTCCCCACGCTTACAGAGCAAACATTGAAACCTCGGGCTTCAGCAACACGTTAATGTTGAAAGTGTTGTATCTCGCGTGTGCCGACGCTGCGTAGGTAACTGATAAACCTTACAGGTGAATTAATAATCAGCGGAGATGGTTTTCCAACTTTGCTATTGCCTGTTATCTCTGGGTGTTTTCCAGTAGGTTTATTGAAGCAGTGTGCCAGAGCAAAGAGGTGCTTGGGGATATCTGGGGGATTCTGCACAGAGAACGGATGCTGCACATCCAACGCAGATCAAATTAACAGCAACTTATCGGGGAAAAAATTGTAATGATTTGATAAATAGGCAAACTGATAGACGCTATACATGTGCGTTTATTATGTTATTTATTATAATATTATATTTATTAATATTATTTATTATAGCTGATAACTTTGTAGCCATATGAACCGTGCAAATGCCCGTAACATAACAGGATGAACTTTGGGTAAATAGCTTGCTTAGAGCATTTGTCAATTGATTTCAGTTTGTTTTCAATGTGATGCCCGCTCTGCAGAAGGCTCTGTGCTTTAATGTGAATTGTCTCTCTGTGACGCAGTTGGGGAGACACGAAAGCGATGGAGGCGATTTTAACATGAGGTTATACCTCTGATTCTGATCCCTACCGGCTGTTTTTCTCATCCTTCCCCCTACAACTTTTGTCAATAAGTCAGTTTGTAGAAGTACTGAAATAGATCTGTTTTGTGTGCTTGTGATCCGAATTACAGCCCACCAAACCCTCCGTCTCTTATCACTAAGCTCTGAAGGTACCTGGGCACTAGACAGTGTAGTTAACAGCTTTGAAGTTCCTAGGATATCTAATTTACTTTTTTTTTTTTTTTTTTTGCTTGCTTGTTGATAATAAATGATAGAAAACAGAAAAGTATGTCCCTTTTACGGGGCTGGTAAACTCGGCCCTACATGTACACAATTTTTGTCATGTTGTTTAAAATAATTACTTTCTTTGGTAGAGAATTTGACAAATTTGATTTAGTGTTCTATCAGTTTGTCCTCAGTGCTGAGTGAAGCAGTGATGCTCGCTTTAGCCCCAAAGTTTAACTGAACTGCATCCACAATGCTGAATTAGGGAACAAGGTTAAGCAGGTGAGGCGTATTCAGTGCTATAAAATTAAAAATAAATAAATTTTAAAAAAACAACAACAACACATAAGTGGTTTTGGGTACTTTGTGTAGTCTGTATCTATTCAGCTAAATCTTGAAATAAATTTAACTTGCAGTGGATGAGAGAGAAGACTTCGCCTGTGAGACAGCAAGCAGAACAATGTGGAAGGTATGACATTTATTCATTTAAAACTTACTTGAAGGAAGAAAGAAATCTCCTTTTCAGTACAGTCTGCATGCTTGCCTTTTTGGAAAGGTGGTGACAGTTGTCAGTAAAAGGAATGGGAAATGCAAGGAAAATTTTGTATTTTGAGGGAACAGCGAAGTCCAGATTGTGTTTGAAGACCAGTGTAACTTTGAGAAAATTGTTGCTTTTATGAAAAGAATGAAGATGAACAATAATAAAATGGCTGATACATGACTGATACACCACTTTTTATGCCAAGTTTATCTTCTGAGTAGGATGTGAAGATGGGAAACAAGGCATGCTATAATGCTGTATCCACGGAAAGGCTCTGTGCTTTTGGAGGCCTAATTTTTTCCTTCTCTAGGAAATAGGGATCGTTTTGTAGTTTAACTAAATCTTTAGTGTTACAAATTTTGCTGTGACAGCTATTTCATAGTTTGTATGTCAGTTTATTTATAACAAAACAACTTGTCCCTCTTAATGTTCCCTAGGGGAAAAGCTATTAGTTTTAGCTAGTTAATTGCTGGGAGTTTGAAAGCTCTGTCCTCATGGAATGATTCTTTCTGAAGTATTCTTTAGAAGGTAAAGTAGGCGAAGTGAGTCACAGTTTTTTTTTCTTTATTTTTTGAGCAAAAACCTGGAAGAAGATTTATTAGTATTTATTTATTTTTAATGCTCCTTTCATGATGAAGTTAATTGTTTGCTCTGAGTTCACATGAAGACCCTGTGTTGTTTAGAATCATTTGAGGCCAAATGCTAACTCATCTCTAAAATAAAAAAACTAAATCCAGAAGAATTAACTGAACTTCTTCTTGAGGAGACTGCTTTGTGTTATACTGCTTTCTTGGTTTAGGATGTTAATTAATGAGTTAGTTGGTTAGGGTTAGGATGAGTTATCCTCCAGATAATATTGATGGCTTTCCCTTCTGGGCAAATGGTGTTTGGGGTAATAACGCTTGAGTTAGGACATTTTGCACCCTACCTTTTTAGGGGGTTGCTCTTTTCCAAGAACAGTAGCAGGGAATTTTGCTGACTCTGCTCATCTGCCAAGCAATTCTTATGTGACCGTGGGCATTCTTTGGCTTGCAGAAAGAACTCAACGTTTTTGTCTTGGCATCTAAAAGTTCGACTTCACAACCACCACCTTTTTAGGGGTGGAAGCGACTGGCTTTAAGGTTCTGGTACAGGTGCAAACAGCTGCTGGGTTTTAATTATGTTTTTTTCAAACTGTTCTGAATTATCTTTGTTAGCACTCCTTTCTACTTCTCCATGTAGGAAGGAGATCCAGAAAACTCATACTGCTTTTGATTTTGTTGACACAGTCCATTGCAGTGCCCTACCTTTTGTTTGTAGAGTAGGTAGTGGTGGTAGTGTTTTTTGTGGTGCTGGTCTCTGTTGGGTGCCATGTTCTGGAGCAGGAGCACCACAATGATCTGCTGGCAAGAGTCCCTTTGGACAGCTGAGTTGGAATATTCAGTAAATCTCTGGCCCACCAATGCTATATATGTGTGTGTGTGTGTATACATATATATATATATATATTTTTTTAAGCCTGAGTCCAATTGTAGATCAGACTTGCTTGAAGGCTGACAATTGTCTTTGCCCCCTTGAAGCTGACAGGTGTTAACAGAAAGAGGAATATGGGCTATTATGGGCAAACGATACTTGTCCGAATAAAGACCTATTCTGATGTAAGACTCTTTTTCAGTGTTCTAATTGATTGACAGTTTGGATTAGAGAAAAGTCTGAGCATATGCCTTAGGGATCTGTCTTCCTCTATGCAGTCAGAGTGCTAAGCAGGCTGTTGTCAAGTATTTGACAAGTTTAGACCAGTTCTCCTCCTCAGTCTTCTGGAAGTTTGAGCTGGTGTCTTCCAGTGTGATCTAATGCACTTTTGTACTTCCTGATTGGCTGCAAGATAAGCTTTGATGTCACAGTTTTTCCAGGCAGACTTCATTTTCTTGCCATAGTGCTTTTATTAGTGCTATTCCCTATTTCACTTCTGGTTTGGGATATTTTTTTCCCTGTTTCCACTGAGATGAGGAAATCTTTCTGGTTTTGGTCTAGGCTTTTCTAAGTAACAGAAAAATGCCTTTGTGTGAAATGCCTTACAAAAGGGATCTCTATTCATGTCTGAAAAGACTGGAATGTTGGCACACCCAAACACCTCTGCTGTTGCTGCTGATGGCCACATGAAAGCCAGAGCTGCTTCTGAAGCTTATGCTGTATTACCTTGCCACACAAGTCTACGGCCTCTCTGTTCTATCATAGCTGTTGGCAGCGTGTCCCGTGTGTGAAAAAGTGCATATGAGCACTCTTTCTATATTTTCGTGAGTTGTTCTTTTATATCCTTGCAAAGATGCATGTTCATCGCAGAATCAGAGAACCACTCCTGTTTAAAGGAAGCGTTGGAAAATAACAATCTAAATCAGCTCTTCTATTTCAGGTCTTCTGGCTTAGTCATTGTTCCCGTATGAACGGTGCGCTTATGTATGTCCTTTTCATTGCTGCTGTTAATAAAGATTTTCCGATTTAGAACATCAAGTATTTACCAGCATTTAGCAACTTGTGAGACAGCTTTATTTTTTTCTGGTTAGCAGGTTTCAATTCTAGGACTAATAACAGCTATAACGTCTTGAAAAAAATGGTCTGATTAATTTTTTTTTCTCTTTTTTTTTCCTCCCAACTTCTGTACTGTTGTGTGACCAGCTACAGAAATGTGAGCGGTGTGAAATGTGAAACTACGAGAAATGTGACCAGCTACAACTTCGGTACTGCCGCATCCAATGGTCTGTCCTCAGGAATGAGTAGTGGAGGCGGCAAAATGAGAAGGGAAAGAGGATTACACTATTTATCCAGATGTGTACAAGAAAAGGTAAGTGACTCTTAAATTAATTGCTGTGACTGAGATTGCTGAAGTCAGTAGCTAAGTGTGTCAGTTTTATTGCATCATTGTACATTATAATAATACCTCTTTAGTTTTGCATGATGTTTTCCTGGGGGTTTCAGAGCAGGCTCAATTGATTACTGTGTTTGAATGCCTGAACTTTGCTTACATAATTTTGAAATTTTTAGTTCTGCTACTTTGGAGATTCTTCGAACTATAACGTTTCTCATTTGCAATTGAACGCGTGAGTCCTAAGAACAGAAGTAATGTTTTGGTGAAGGTTTGTGTAGTTTTTATACAGGAATGATACTTGACATGAGTGCCAAGTATAAAAAGAAAGAAAAAGTTTAATTTTTGGTTTCATATTTAAGTCGTATAAAAAGATACAGGCCAAGAGTTTGAAAAAGAGTAGTAGGAGACAGCATTCTGCGTGTCTGCTAATGATGACTCAATTTTTGAGAATCACCAAACTCCTTGTGAGAGTTTTTTCTCATTTTAATCAGAAAAATCTATTCCATAAAACTGTGACCGTGAATATTCGGATTATTTTTTTCTTTTATTGGATGTTATGTGAGGTGCCTGTAAGTAATTTAAATACTTAATAGTAACGTAAATATTTAATTAATACTAAGTTAATGTTAAGTATTTAATTAAAGTATTTACAATTAAATAGTTTTAATTTAAATGTTATTTATTAATTAAAGCATTTAATATTTACATATAAGTATTTAATTTAAGTTTAAAAACATTAAATGGGACATTAAATGGTCCAAACATGATCCAAATATCCTAAGTTCCATAAATTTTTCAAATCAAAACAGTGAAACAGACGTAGGCTGCCTTATGCACTGAATATCAGTAGTACCTCCTTACGTCCCTGCCTAGTCATTTCTAAGTAGATCGTGATAGTACTGTTGAAATTTTGATCAGATTGTCTATGTCATTTAAAACATAACTCATCCAATCTTAGTAATCAAATAAAGTAAGTGGAAGGGATAAAAATGGAAGTTTTGAAAACAGCATTTTCTGACTTTTGCATTGTGTCCCGATACATGGTATGGGCTGTATTTACCAGAATAGAGTCTTCAGTGCTGCTAATCTGACTTTCTTTGGTGCTTTTTGTGTTTAGGTTGGTTGTTGAAGCTACCTGCTTCTTGAAACATGACCTTTTTCCACGTTCACTGCTGTAGTGACTTTAGAAACTTTGGCAACCCTCCTGCCTAATTTTGCAAGAGGAACGCTTTCTCATTTGTCTTGAGAGTGTACTCTTAATTGAAGAGGTGTGAGGGGTAGTTAGAAAGGATGATGCTTCTCTAGAGCTCTGATGACCAAAGTATAGGAAAGGAAAAGAAAAATCTGATCTGTGCCTCTTTGTTCTGCACAGGTTTTGAGTTAACTTCAGTGTTCTTGCTGTACAGTTGTTGAAAGAAGGGGAAGGAGCTGGGGTATGTACAGGGTTATGGCATTCGTCTTTCCAGGTAGCCATTACTGTGATGAGTCATTAATGGCACCCTCAAATTTAACAACTTCTTGTTTCCAGTTCTTTTCCCTGTTCCACTTGAAGGGAGTGAGCGAGTGGCTGTGTGGTGCTTAGTTGCCTACAACGGTTAAACCACAACTTTATTGAAGTTATTAAATTAGAGGTAATGTGGTCGTATAAGCCTTGCATAGAATGAGCCTAGGGTGCAATAATTGGCATATTATTGCAATAAAATAAACATCAATCTGTTTCCAGAGCAATTGAAATATTTTTGTATGGTTTGAAGTAGGTAGCTGATGTAATACGTTGAGGTGTTTGCTGAAGTTCTTGGAGTATCATTGGGCTGAGTTTACCGTTCTTCAGCTTCCTGGTTTGCTTTTCCATGCATTTAGACCTAAGTAGCATCTCCAGCTTTTCCTCTGGGTTTCTGGAATTTGGTTGTGAAGATTTTGTCCTATACCCACTAGGAAACTTGACTTTGTTTTATTACTACTTCTGTCTGCAAAATAACTGAAACATCAAGCTTTTCAACGTCACTGCAGGATTTGTGTTGTGTAGTGAATTCAGGTAGTTGCTGCTCTTAAATGTAAACCTTGAATTCTTTTGAAAATACAGATACAGCCAACAAGTAGTGTTAGCAGTCTTGTGTTTGGATTTTCATCTCTAACTGTGAAGTCTACGGAGGCAGAAGTGCTATCTACATTTCCTGTAAGTAAATAAAGAAGCTAGACTTGTTTTCTTAGGCATTTAGTAGGCTGTTGCAGAACACTAAAGCTGAATCTGCCTTGATGGAGAGAACTATGTAGGCTTCTGGCTTATAATTTGTCATTCAGCATGCATGCTACAAATGTGAAGACCAGCTTTCAGATTTGGTTTTGTGTATGCATTTGATTGACGTTCCTGTGGCTCTGAAAAACCTCTCTTGTTCATAGCAGATTGGGGTTTACATTTAGTGTTCCCGTTGTAAATCATCAGAGCTTTCTGGATCCAGTGATACGCCCGTGACGTCCTTTCTTACCCTAGGTAACTGAAATCTTAGCACTTCACATCTGAAGTGCTGATTTTTCTTATCTTCTTTATTAAATCTTAAACCTGTCCTGTCTGTGCATGCTAGCAATTCCGGGCAGTGTTGGACTTCCGCAGTATTTTTCCAGTGACAGATCTGTTTTTATTGCTTGTAATTATAAACCATTATAAAGTAAGTAGAATTGGTGAAGGTTCTTCCGTGAGAAGCATGAAAGTTGGAAATTCTTGTTTCTAACACAAGTGAGTATAATGTGCTCTAGGTAGGTCGCATTGTGACAGCTGTTTGTTTTCTTTTGTTTCAAAAGAAACTAGCTCATCCGCATCCACCAACAATGAGCAAGAGGACAAACAAGGTTTGTTGCTGTCCCTTCAGAGTTCCCTTTAAATATGGATGAGGACTAAAGGAAGGAAGCGTCTTAGACATTCTAAAAAACCCTGGTGAGATAATGAACTCCTTTTAAAAAATACGCTAGCATTTTTATTTCAAACAAACAAACAACAAACTTATGGTTAAGAAAGTATTTTCTATAAATATGAACATAGGAGAGCATTACATTAAGCGCTGCGTTTGTTAGGGTACATCTGCCCCTTCTATTCTAAGTGAAGTTGTCTTTGTTGCTGGAAGTAAAACTGCAAGTTGAAAACCAGATGGGTTGCATCTCCTTTTGTTTGCGAAGCACGGCCGAAAGCACGACAGACACCAGCAGAGTCAGATCATGCTGCTCCATTTTATTGCCCGAATAGCCTAACTTTTATAGAGAACTTTACAGGGGCGGACAGTGTTTCACACAAGATTATTGGTCAAAAGCACTCAGACAAAAAACTATAAGAAAACAACCCCACCTGCAAGAAAAGAACCCCCCTTTTGATTAGCAGTCAGGAAAACAACCCCCTTTGTGATTAGCGGTCATGTAGACCTAGTCCTTGAGGCCAGCTGCTGGTAACAGTATTTTCTGAGTTCCTTAATTGGGCGATGTGGGAGTCACTGCCCTGGGAGCTTCTCACAGTTACTCTGGCAGCTTGGCTTGCTCAGCTACAGCAGGCCCTGAGATTCCTAAGGCCTACCCCTGGTTGCTTAAAGCAAGCTCAGATCGAACAATTGTTCCACGGGCACATGTCCACGTCCTGTATGCCAATTCCCAACATCCTTTATGTGTTAGGATGTAACTGTAAATGAGGTACTAAGAGAACTAGCTAGATGGTCAATGTTTCATTTTAAGTAAATACAATTTGTGGAATTGAAAAGGAAATGTTTGTAAAACTCGACGCTCCTGTCCCACCTTCAGCCCAGGTGCAGAAAGAATAGTAAAGAGTTTGGGTTCTAAAGATATTGCAAAAGCTGCAAATCTGTGACATTCACTTTATCAGTTTAAAAGAAGCAGAATCTAAATCCACATTGTTCAAAAACTTCACTTCTGATTTAAAAACAAAACAGCAAAAAAAAAAAAAGCAAACAAAAAACCACAAAACAACTACGTTCAATGTACGTTCATGAGCAACTTGAGCTGCTATTCAAGATGCGTTTCCTTTAGTGTTTCTGTATTAGTAGCTTGTCTTTTCTGTTAAAATTGCCACCTTTGAATCAGGAGTTGTCCTGTGTGCGATGCATTTTGAACAAATATTGTAGAAAATTAGACAGTTGTTCAATTGTCTCGAGTTTTTATTATTTAATTAATATTCAGCATTTGGCTATTACTGTCATTTTGGACAGTGCTCTGTTGGAGAAGAGCATTTCTGTTCTAAAGCAGGAGGCAACATTTGCAGAATTATGCTAGGTAAACAGAAACAAGTGTCATTTTTTACTGTTTAACAGAACACACAAGCTAACCTCGTGTACATATTGGAATTGTTTATATGAAGTCCTCTTTGTCAGTATCCTGAATCAGAGTTCATCAAATTTTGTATCTGTTCTTTAACTATTCAGAGACCTAATTGCCCTAAATAAATGATAGAACTGAGCCAGTAGAGTAAGAAACCCTCTCAGGAAGTGCTAAACTTTAAACTCCCCGTTGCCCTAAGCTCATGAAAAGCAAAGAATAGTATTCTACACCTGTTCTAGTAATAAACTCCTTTGGCTTTCTCCCTGCATTCCCAGATTTTGGGAATTAGTTGTCTAAGAACAAGAACTCCCCAGCGTATAAAACCACTTGTTGTCCCTTCTACTTCATATAGGCCCAAACCTGAAAGTATTTACGAATGCATTCAGCTTTGCTACTGTTGAGAAACAAGGCTGGTCACAATGGCAGCTAAGCCCAAGTGACACTGTCTGGCTAGACATAAGAGGTGGATTCCCCCAGCCATCCTGAAACAGGTTGATGAATCCAGGGAGTCAAACATAGCACTTCTGCATTTTTGGTTTTGTAGACTGCATCCTGTGTACAGCCATTACAGCAAGGGCCACAGACTTTACAAAGGCAGAACTACAAGAATCTGATTATTTAGAATAACTGTATCAATGCACAACTCATTGTTACCTTTTAGAAATTCCTATGCTCAGCCGGATTCGTTTTCCCCCCAGACCTGGTGCATTCTGGCAGTCTTGCAGTGCCCTCATCTGATCACCTTGCTCACCAAATCTGACGTAGGCATACCCTCTACAATTTTCAAAAGGGAGAAAACAAATTCTAGTATGCATAACAGTTACAAAACTAATGAATTCAATTTCTGTCTTCTACAAAAAAACAAGATAGCAGCTACTAGAGCTTCCATTACTTAAGCAACCTCTCCGGCATGTGCACATGCACAGAAAAGGCTTTCACCAAATTAAAAAACTTGGGCCAGAAGCAAAAAGCTTGTTCCTTGGTAGCATTAAGATGCAACTCGCTAAGAGCCAGCAAAACAATACATTTTAAGTGCTATCTGCGTAAGTAATCAGATTCCATATTTCTGCATATACAGCAGTTAATCAGTTAGCATTAACCCACTCCTACCACTGCATAACACTAGCATTCTTTTTATCTGCTTTCTCAGAAGGTTCTTGAATTAGTCTGTTACAGGCAGCATTGTCTGAACAGCAAACTCGCTCATTCCTGCTTGACTCACTGCATGGCCAGTAGTTTCTGCTAGACTTTATTTACTACTAACATTAGGTTCCATCCCCCAACCCCCTAAGATTTGCCAGGGCTTATGTTTTTCCCCAAACAAAGTAGGAATTATTTTGTCTTCAGTATTGCAGATGACTAAGTAGACACACAGCAGCGCTGATTTCAGTGCACAGCTCTTCCTCCTCCCACAGCTTCTAGTTCTTCTTTTTTTTTTTTTCCCCCATGTAGATATGCATATGGGTAAGTTGAAGCTTATCACAGTAACTGCCTGAACTAACTGGAAAGCTCTTAAAAACACTCAAGGATCTGTGCTATTAAGAAAAGCAGTGCTAAAGACTAATCTCACTCTTCGTGCCCCAGAAAAAAAGCACTGGAACAGCTCCGACGCAAGCTCTTACATATCGCTTATAAAAGCGAACACACTGATAACGTTACACATTTGCACTGGAATTACCTGGAATATCCCAGCAGGTCTGTTGCTATTTTGCAGTCAATACATGAGGGATACCTCTTTAGGAAATAGTCACAGAGCTGGAAATCACCCACTTCTGGGGTAAGCTCCCCAACAAATATTGAATAATCTGGTCTTTAAAAAGAGAGAGAGAAAGAACAATTTTAAGGTTCAAGACTAAGATAGCTGATTCCCATTATATTCACAGTTAGTTATCATCAGACTAAAAAAGAGAAATCTGTTAGGAGTACTAAGTACAGAACTCTACTGAGTTGCGTAGAAAATTGCAATGCCACCACTCTAATCTAAAGTTTTCCATTACTCTGGGTCTATTCTACTGTTTCAGCAACAAGGACCCATTTTCTGACAACTTGCAACAGTTTGTTTCAAGAAGAAGCATAGTTTATTGTCTGAACAAGAAAGCAGCATAAAAATACCGAGAAAAATGATCAACTTAAACCACAGCCACGATTCAAAGGAGCTATGACTAGTAGCAGTAGAAATACTGCTTCCCAGTGATCATGGGAGACAGCAACTGCAAATAAACCATTATTTATAGACACGTATTGCCAATGCAACATTTACCAACCACACCAGCCATTTTGGAATTTGAAAAGTGAGTGATGGCATTCGCTACCAATTCAAACAGGTAAGGCAGAGTTTCTCATTTCAAAAGGTTTTTACCTGGCTGAACTACTACTACTAACAAACTCTATTCTTCCTGGGTTTATTTTGTTCCTTTTCTTTTGTTTTTTCTGTGGTGTTCTCCACCAGCTGTAGGCCTGGAGGCATTCTCGTTTTTTCCCAAGCAAGTCCTGTTGGGATAAAAAAACACCTCTATAGTATTTAGCCTCATTTACATTCCTCCCTCCGACTCCCCATCACCACAGGTGATTTCCCCATATTCACCTTGCCCTTGAAAGAAGCCTGGGGTCCCATTTCTCCCTCCGCCTCCCATGAGGGAAAGCAGCCTCTGGGGAAAACGCCTGGCAAAAATAACAGAGCCAAAGGATTGTATGAACAGCCATATTCCCCTGACTTGTCAAGCTGGCTAAAGGATTGACAGCTTCCTCTTGGAATTCGGAAAAAAGCAGTTAGCCCTTCGATGCTGGTCAATCCTATGCGTTAATTAGCTTAGGACTGGATTGTGCTCCATTTGAGCTCTTGGACTCTCAAAAAAAAAGTCTTCAGTAGCACAGTGAGTGATGAACAGGCAGGAAATCATCACTCCTGCTCAGAAGAAATCTCATCTGTCCCTGTCTCCCCTTTCCTAGGAATTCTTCTTCCTTATGTGAGATGCCTCTCCTCACTACCTAGCTGCCAGTCACTCTCTCAGGCCAGGAATGACGACAGGAGGCCCATTAATGGAACGCAAGGAGAAAGCAGACCAGGAACAGGCACTAACTTGGCTGAGGGGAAAACTCAAAACCCAGATGCAAGGCCAGGAACTAAGAGGCATAAAAAAAAAGTGCCTCCAAAAACAAAACAAAAACAAAAAACAAAACACCCCAAAAGCCACAGTTAAAAAGGAAGTGTGATAACTACAGAAAAGAGGAGAGAAACAGCCATAACAACACAGGTTGCCTCCCTCATTTAGTATTCTGAAGAACAAGGATTTCCAAAAATATGATTGGCGTTTTTCAGTAGCTTTTACTTACGCAGGCTTTAGTGTTCTTCCTCTAGAACACCTCTACATAACTTACCTAGAGAGTGTTACTCACAAGATCCTTCAGAAGAACTCATGCTCAAATAATCCAAACTGCAAAGCTTAACGTTTTGCCCCCAACCTGCTTCGGTTGTTATGATCAAGCATCCAGAGGACAACCACCAATTACCAAATTAGCAGAGGAAATCACAGGACTAGAACACCCAACTCAGAGTGAGCCAGCCATTTCAGCTTTACATTTACTAGGAATTCTGAGTATGGTTCTGGGATCCATTTAGACACTACAAACCTGAATTTCTCACCACAGGATCTTACCTGGTTTGCCATGGTTGAAAGAATCTGTCTTCTGTCTTTCTCAAGGAATGCAGCTGCAAACGCTCAGTTTATTGCAGTCCGTCAGCTAGAAAAAATGTGAGGGAGGGGCAAGAATAATCTTAACTTTGAGGTCAGTTTCTTAGATGCTCACCCTGTCCAACGCTTTTAATATTATTAATTCACAACTCGGGAGTTTCATTTCTGATGTGTCTCAATTGTTTTAGCCATGACAAGAAGGATACATAGCCAAGGGGACTACGATTAGAAGTCTTCTTCATTTTCTTAAACTGTAGTAGTCCACAAAGTTTTCGCGTTGTCCAAGACACTAAGAAATTGTGAGCTTTTAAGTGACCTACACCTTATCCTTATTTCTAAAAGAACATGCAATATTGTAATTTAATAGTTCCATGTTCTGAAGTAATTAAAAGCGAGGCAACAAAGATAGAAGCTTTCATGTTTTCTACAACTCCTCAAGTCCGCCCCCCCACACACTTAGAGACAAATTAGAAGTTGTATCTGCTTGTGGTACCAGTTACACAGCTGAAAACAAGCAGTTGTACTTCCTACCTGTTAAAGGAGCAGAGATGTTAAGAGACATCTGGTTAATAGAGTATTTTCTATAAATACGAACATAGGAGAGCATTACATTAAGTGCTGCGTTTGTTAGGGTGCATCTGCCCCTTCTATTCTAAGTGAAGTTGTCTTTGTTGCTGGAAGTAAAACTGCAAGTTGAAAACCAGATGGGTTACATCTCCTTTTGTTGCGAAGCACGGCCGAAAGCACGACAGACACCAGTTGAGTCAGATCATGCTGCTCCATTTTATTGCCCGAATAGCCTAACTTTTATAGTGAACTTTACAGGGGCGGACAGTGTTTCACACAAGATTATTGGTCAAAAGCACTCAGACGAAAAACTATAAGAAAACAACCCCACCTGCAAGAAAAGAACTGGTGATCTCACACAACTGTAACAAGCTAGGAGCAAATACAGTGAATTTATCTAAGTAACATGGACATCTGATAGCATTTGCAGCAATACCTTGCCAGGCCTTATCCCCACAAATCAGAAAAACATCAGGAGGTAAGGCCAAAGCTGTACAATTGTTCCAAACACTGTAGTTGTTACGCCTTGTCTCCATACTATGAACCCCTAAACCCTGCTTTGCAGTGTCATTGTAATCACAGGTGTTATTTGTATTTTTGTACCGGTATGGCCCTTTCCCAGTTCCTGTAGCAGGAATCATCTGATATCCACGGCTACATTCACATTTGTAGCCACCTTTCAGGTTGATACAGATTTGACTACAGATACCAGGGTTTTGACATTCTGTCCTGGTTTCAGTTAGCACAGAATTAATTTTCTTCCTAGTAGCTGGTGGAATGCTGTGTTTTGGCTTAGGATGAGAAGAGTGCTGATAACACCCCGATGCTTTAATTGTTGCAGAGCAGTGCTTATACTAAGCCAAGGACATCTCAGCCTTTTGCTCTGTCCTGCCAACGGACAGGCTGGGGGTGCAGTAAGAGCTGGGAGGGGACAGACCCAGGACAGGTGACCCAAACTAGCCAAAGGGGTATTCCATACCATCTGACGTCATGCTAAACAATATATAGGGGTGGCTAGCCGGGGGAAGGGGGCCGGACTGCTCGGGGTTAGGCTGGGCATCATCGGTCAGCGGGTGGTGAGCAATTGCATTGTGCATCACTTGTTTGTACATACTATTACTTTCGTATTATCACCATTGTATCATTATTATTATTATTGTTATTATTATTTTTGTTATTATTATTTTCCTGTCTTATTAAACTGTCTTTATCTCAACTCACGGGCTTCACTCTCCATTTCTCTCCCCCGTCCCAGAGAGGGAGGGGGGAGGGTGAGCGAACGGCTGCGTGGTGTTTAGCTGCCGGCCGGGTTAAACCACGACAGCCTTTTTGGCGCCCAACGTGGGGCCCGAAAGGTTGAGATAACAGCAGATCTGATCAGAGTGTGTTAAACTAAAATTGGTGTAAGGATTAGACCTGCTTAATAGTCACTTGTCATGATGCTGATTGCTTTAATCTCAACTCTGCTGCGCCTGTTTTCCAAATTGAGTATTATAGTACATTATTTTCCGTATTTTCTCTCTGTAGTGTTGTTTATCCTCTCTGGGCCCTGGTTTCAGATCATTATGGTACTGAGTGTTATAGCAATGGCTTATGAGACGATAAGATATCTGGTCATGACTCTAACTTGGTATTCATACTCAGTAATATCGTGGACTCTGTACTTTGGAAACAGTATCTTGGGAACTATTAGCAATTATACCTATTGTTTTTCTCCATTAGAGAGTCAATCTGTGGAGGGAAAAGGGGAAGATAATTTTTCTTACTTGATTACTCTCCCTTTCTCCTTCACCACCCCTGTATCCTCCTGGATCACTCTGCCTTCCTCCTTCACCACCCTCTTATCCCCTGAGCTTGTCAAAATAGCTCTCCAAGATATTGAATATTATTGGGATACTCAGAATACCATAGTCTTGTTGTTCTGCCTCATGAATGCACTTCAGGTTCTGCTTAAAGTTAAACAACTACTTGGGAAGCTCATCCGGAGATCTGCCCGGAGGCAGGATAGTTGTGGGTGGCAGGGAGTATGGGTGGATATGGGCAGGCATCTAGAGCAGTTGGCACCCCGAGTGTGTTGGAAATTCACCCCTGAGCAATGGCAAAATCCTCAAAAACTGGCAGAATGCTTGAAAAAAAGGTGTCATGATTCTGGCAGTTCCAAAGTAACACAAATCATTGTAACGTGCTGGGGCCTGGCTCATGCCTATCGAGCTGCCATTGATACTGCTATCAACTTAGTGACAGACCCTGCGGCCACTCCAAGCCCTGTGACAGATCCAACGGCCACTGTGACCCCTACGGTGGACTCGGCAGCCGCTCCAGATCCGGCTCCTGCAGCCGCTCCAGCTCCGGTTCCTGCAGCCGCTCCAGTTCCAGCTCCTGCAGCCGCTCCAGTTACAGCTCCTGCAGCCGCTCCAGCTCCGGTTCCTGCAGCCGCTCCAGTTCCAGCTCCTGCAGCCACTCCAGCTCCAGTTCCAGCAGCTGCTCCAGTTACAGCTCCTGAAGCCACTCCAGCTCCGGTTCCTGCAGCCGCTTCAGCTCCGGTTCCTGCAGCCGCTCCAGCTCCGGTTCCTGCAGCCGCTCCAGTTCCAGCTCCTGCAGCCGCTCCAGTTCCAGCTCCTGCAGCCACTCCAGCTCCAGTTCCTGCAGCCGCTCCAATTACAGCTCCTGAAGCCGCTCCAGCTCCGGTTCCTGCAGCCGCTCCAATTACAGCTCCTGAAGCCGCTCCAGCTCCAGCTCCTGCCGCTACTCCAATCCCAGCTCCTGCAGCCGCTCCAGCTCCAGCTCCTGCAACCGCTCCAGCTCCAGCTCCTGCCGCTACTCCAATCCCAGCTCCTGCAGCCGCTCCAGCTCCAGCTCCTGCAACCGTTCCAGCTCCAGCTCCTGCCGCTACTCCAGTCCCAGCTCCTGCAACTGCTCCAGCTCCAGCTCCTGCAGCCGCTCCAGCTCCTGTGGCCGTGTCAGAGAAACAATCTGTAGCAGTGCAAGTTGACCCTGCAGAGGGTATTCCAATCCCTGTAACAAAGTCAGAGAAACGAGCAGTAGCAGTGCAAGCTGCCCCTGCAGAGGGTATTCCAACCCCTGTAACGGGGTCAGAGAAACGAGCAGTAGCAGTGCAAGCTGCCCCTGTAGAGAAGGTGAAAATATGGTATAGAAATTCAGGTCGTTTAGAACGCAGAGAGTCTTCTGCCAATCCAGGTAAGGCTTCTGCCAAAACTAGGTATAAAGATGATGAAGATGACGACGACGCTGGGCCATCAAGGATTCAGGAGGAGGAAGATGAGGATGCTGAAAAGCAACAGTAACTACCCGAAGCCTAAACGAGCACGAGCTACGAGATGTGCGAAAAGATTTTGGTCGCTGTATAGGTGAGCAGCTTGTCACCTGGCTGCTCCGGTGCTGGGACTCTGGAGCCAATTGTGTGGAATTAGACGGCAGGGAAGCCAGACGGTTGGGATCCCTTGCTCGAGACGCCGGCATTGACAAAGCAATTGCAGATGGAGCACAACCCACCAGCCTCTGGAGGCGTCTCCTCTCAGCTGTGAGGGAAAGGTATCCCTTCAAGGAAGAACTTTTATGTCTACCAGGCAAGTGGACCACTATGGAGAAGGGAATCCAGTACCTGAGGGAATTAGCCGTACAGGAAGTGATTTATGAGGATCCAGACCTCAGACAAACATCCAAAGACCCAGATGAAGTCAAGTGTACACGACCCATGTGGCGGAAGTTTGTACGGAGTGCACCATCATCATATGCCAGCTCATTGGCAATAATGGCCTGGAAAGAGGATGAGGAACCCACAGTGGATGAAGCAGCTAAACAACTCCGGCAGTACGAAGAAAGTCTCTCCTCTTCCTTACAGGCCTGCGTCTCAGCTGTGGAGAAACTTTCTGAAGAGGTCCACCAACTTAAAGAGAATCTATCTTCCCCCCAACCTGAACCAACCAGTGTCCAACGACCGAAAGAGAACACCTGGGAGAAAACACTTTCTGAAAAGTTTCACCAACTTGAAGAGAAATTATTCTCCTCCGTACCTGTACAAAGCAGTGTCTCAGCTGTCAGGGGCAGGCGTTCACCCACACAAGGAAGACGATATGGTGGGTACTCACCCCATGCCACCCTGTGGTTTTACTTACGAGACCATGGAGAGGACATGAGAAAATGGGATGGAAAATCTACCGCGACCCTAGAGGCACGGGTACGTGAGTTGCAAAAGAAAACAATCAGGAAAAAGGGATTCTCTGAAAAGTTTGCTGCTCCAACTTCCAGCAGACAGTCCTTCAAACACAGAACCGAGGAAGATTCTGACCAGGATTAGGGGGGCCCTGCCTCCAGCCAGGGGGAGGAAAGGGACAATCAAATTTATTGGACTGTGTGGATTCGATGGCCTGGCACATCACGCGCACAGAGGTATAAGGCTTTAGTAGACACCGGTGCACAATGTACTATAATGCCATCGAGCTATAAAGGACCAGAGCCCATCTATATTTGTGGAGTGACAGGAGGATCTCAGCAGTTGACTGTATTGGAGGCTGAAGTGAGTCTGACTGGGAATGAGTGGGAAAAGCACCGCATTGTGACTGGCCCGGATGCTCCATGTATCCTTGGCATAGACTATCTTAGAAGAGGATATTGCAAGGACCCAAAAGAGTTCCGGTGGGCTTTTGGTATAGCTGCCTTAGAGACAGAGGGCATTAAACAATTATCTACCTTGCCTGGTCTCTCAGAGGACCCCTCTGTTGTGGGGTTGCTGAGGGTCGAAAAACAGCAAGTGCCAATCGCTACCACAACTGTGCACCGGCGGCAATATCGCACTAACCGAGACTCCCTGATCCCCATCCATAAGCTAATTCGTCAATTGGAGAGCCAAGGAGTGATCAGCAAGACTCATTCACCTTTCAATAGTCCCATATGGCCAGTGCGAAAGTCTAATGGCGAGTGGAGACTAACAGTGGACTATCGCGGCCTGAACGAAGTCACGCCACCACTGAGTGCTGCAGTGCCGGACATGCTGGAACTTCAGTATGAACTTGAATCGAAGGCAGCCAAGTGGTACGCCACAATTGATATCGCTAATGCATTTTTCTCCATCCCTCTAGCAGCAGAGTGCAGGCCACA